CAGGGAGGAATAATGAGAACATTCATTAATGACTGCACCATGTTCCTGTGGATTGTCAGCACCAGTCATTTTTTACTTTGAACAAAATGTAACTGTTGTCAATGGAAAGCCATTTGCAAATAAAACCAGTGAGTAATGATATTTAGATATCCATTAACATGTTTCAATTTTTACCTTCTTTGTCTAGAAGGGATCAGAATTTCAACAGAAATTCCAATTCAATACACACATTTATAATCAAACCTGTGGATGTAACTTAACTATTAAATAGTTCCCTCCCTCCCTCCCTCCCTCCCTCCCTCCCTCCTTCCTTCCTTCCTTCCTTCCTTCCTTCCTTCCTTCCTTCCTTCCCTCATTCCCTTCCTTCCTTCCTTCCCTCCTTCCTTCTTTCCTTCCTTCCTTCCTTTCTTCCTTCCTTCCTTCCCTCCTTCCTTATTTTCTTCCTTCCTTCCTTCCTTTTCTTCCTTCCTTCCTTCTTTCCTTCCCTCCTTCCTTCCTTCTTTCCTTCCCTCCCTCCCTCCTTCCTTCCTTCCTTCCTTCCTTCCTTCCTTCCTTCCTTCCTTCCTTCCTCATTGCTTTCTTCTTGGGAATAAATTGCCAGGTATGCTGCTAAATCCCCTATAATGCCCAGAACATCCCCCATCACAATGAAATATCTGTCCCAAGATGTCAGTAGTGCAGAGGTGGAGACAACCTGCTTTAGCGTTTATCCCAGGAATAGAACTGCTGTGTCACAGGATCTATGCACCTTTTACTAAGGATTGCCAAATTGTTTCCCAAAGTTGTTTTACTAATTTACCCCCAACCTAGCAGTATGTGTAAGAGCTCTCACTCACCCCCCCCACATCGCCATTTTACAGATTAAAAACCTGAGGCTTTGAAGAGGGTGGAGTAACTTGGACAAGGGTATAGAGTGACAAGGACATTAACAAAGCTTTGAGAGTGACATAGATGTAATATCTCCCTGCAAGGACACAGCCAAGGAAGATAAATTCAGTCCTTCTATATAAGAGATATTTACAAAGTCTTAATTACATACCAGGAACTACACTTTACACATATCTTCTCATATCTTCCCCCAACTGTACAAGATAGTATCAGAGCCCACTTAATAGCATGGGCTTTGAAGCCAGCCAGAACAGACGTTAGGTCCCAGAGTGGTAATTCACTAGCCCTGTGCCTCAGGAAACTTACTTGAGCTTGCTGAGTTTCAAGTTTCCTCATCTGTGAAACAGGAACCATCGTAGACCTACGTCACTGTATCGTTGTGATAGAGATAACGCGATAGGCCATCCATAAATATTAGCTGTCATGGTCATCAGCATCACCACTCTCACTTAAGAGATCGGGAATAGAGCCTCAGAGTTTAAATTGCAAAAGGTCACAGCTAGTAAGTGGTGGAACTAGAATTTGAACTCGGGTCTGTCTGACTCCAAAGTTCATCTCACTTTAACTGTGTCAAGTTGTGTACCCAAGAGGGGAGGACTCCCAGCCCCATCCCACCAGTTTAGACTAAGCGGGGTTGGGTGGGGACAGCATGTATGAATTACTAAAACTGGGAATTCATCAAACACTTTTAAATAACACATTTTCATGGTATCATGAATATTTAGTAACTCAACTAAGTAAAACAAATGTTGTCAAGATATCAGTTGCCTGGGGACCTGCTATAATAGATAGTCTGGGATGATCTGTAATTAGAATGTGGACTGCATGAAAATGGCGATTCTACAGATTCTGAAAACAACCTCTTCTCTTACAAATTATAAATATCCCCTTTGCCATATTATTACTATCCATCTGCTTCACCCTTGAAGACAAACCAACTAAAACCTATTGCCTAGGCAAAGATCACAGATTTTGAATTAGTGGTGTCAGAATGAACAATGCTTGCCTTCCTACACCCTGTTTGCAATCAAATCCTCCAATTTCTCCTCTATTTTCTGCCCCCCTCCCTCCTGGGAAGACATTTGTCTTCAGAGGCTGGCAATGAGGCATTTGCCATTAGACACACTATGACATATTTTAAATATGCTCCAAGAAGCCGAGGCTAAATTACACTGGTGAGTTATTAAAAACAGCTCTCAGTGCTATTATTATTTATTGCATTTGCAACTCTCAGCAGCAGCTGATTACACTGCTTAATCTTGTATTTTTTAAAAATTCCCCACCCTGAAATTAATTCTCCCCACAATGAATAAGCAAGGTCAGCCACACTGAGCATCCTTTGGAAGCATTTGGATTCTGGGAAGGAATTTGATGGACAGCCCTGGAGCAGAACCTCAGTTTCTCCAGGGGAGGAAGTCCTTCACTTGAAATATGGACACCTCTTTTCTGAACCCCTTAGAGAGGGAGTTCTCCAAATCACAGGTCTCACCACGCTAGTCCCTTCCATGCTGTCTCTGCAGCTGCCATATGTTGCTGTCATTGAAAGACCTCTGTGATCTGGCCCCTGCCTCCCTCCCCAGCCTCATCTCTCATAGCCCCATGTCCTCATCCAGGACTCAGTCCTCGAAGTGACTTGTATTTTGTTTCCAGTGCCAGGCTCTGCCCTCTGAGCCTTTGCATATGCTGGTCCTCTCACCTGAAGTCCTGCCTCCACCCTTATTTTCTTGGCCAATACCTTTTCCTTCCAGAAGCAGCTTAGGGAATATCTCCTTAGTGAAGCTTCCAGTGAGGAATAGAAGGATTTCTTCACCACATCCATAAAACTGCACTCCTCCATCTATTGTAGCACTCAGCACACTGTATTGTCACTGTGTATTTGTGTCTCTTTTTTGTTATATTGTGAACTGCTTGAGAGCAACTGTAGTTTACTGTCTAAGCTTTACTGTCGAAGCTCCCAGCATAGGCCCAGCACAAAGAAAGTGCTTTGAGAATTAAGAGATCAAAAATAGAAGTAGTGTAGTAGTGCAGGAAGAGCCAAAGCTCTTGAATGAGGCATTTGTTCATTCACTCATTCATTTATTCAGCAAACATTTATTAAGCATCTATTATGAGCCAGGCTCTGTGCTAAGCACTAGGGACACAATGATTAAAAATAAATGGATCTTGTAATGGGGGAGACAGACATAACTCAAATAATAGCATAAGTGTATCATATAAGCCGTGATTAGTGCCATAAAGGAAAAATACTCAGGGCCATGACAGCATAAAGATAAGGCCCAACCCAGGCTGGAGTTTGTATGGCGAGTTTCATCAGGGCTGCCCTCCTTGAGGAAGTGATGCTTTAGCTAAGAGCTGAAGAGGAATAGCCATTAACTAGGTGGTAGGTGGGGCAAGAACATTTAAAGCAAAAGAGACAGCAAGTGTAAAGGTTCTGAGGGCTGTGGGGGCCTAAGTGCTGAAGAGGTGTGTAGGAATGAACCAAAGGTCAGTACAAGGACTGGGGAACAGGCAAGGGTGGAGGTGGTGTGCGACAGATCAGGTTGGGAGACACCCAGGGGCCAGGCCATGAAGAATATTGTAGACTGTGTTAAGGATTTGTCTAGCCTGGCCACAGTGGGTTTTAAGCAAAGGAACAACATTTTGAGTGTGTATGTGTGTGTGTTTTAAACCATCTGCAATGGAGAGAACAGAATGGGGGAAAAGGTACACAGAGATTGTGGGGTATGAACTTCCAGACTGCCTCAGAAGACACAGTGTCAAGGCGGTGTTAATGCCTAAAGGACCACAGGGAGGTGGGGAGACCTCCAGAGGTCCTCAGGGAGATACCTGGACCATGTGTCAAGTTCACAGGCCTGCTCCAGATGTCCCCTTCTTTTTTGAATTTTTTTAAATTTTTTGGGACAGAGTCTCACTCTGTCGCCCGGGCTGGAGTGCAATGGCGTGATCTCAGCTCACTGCAACCTCTACCTCCCAGGCTCAAGCGATTCTCCTGCCTTAGCTTCCCTAGTAGCTGGGATTATAGGTGTGCTGCATTTTTGTATTTTAGTAGAGAAGGGGTTTCACCATGTTGCCCAGGGTGGTCTCGAACTCCTGAGCTCAGGCGATCCACCACTTTGGCCTCCCAAAGTGCTGGGATTACAGGCATAAGCCACCATGCCTGGCCCAGGATGTTCTCTCCCAAAGCAGAAGCTCCTGCTGGGGGAGGCTCAGCCTTACCTGGGTTAACCAAACTGGTGCAGGGAGAAGGGGCTCTGCTTTAGAGCAGAGCTCCCAGGGAAACTGAGCTCAGGCCAATTCTATAATTTACAGTTTATGCCTCTAGGGGAGTGAGGTCAGAGAACTGAACCCTTACCTGTAAATTCTTGCCCTAACTTCTAAGTCCTTGGAAGGGTTAGGTCAGCCCATCCTAGGCTTAATTTGCTACCTTAGGAAGAATCAGACCATGGGAGGTCATCTACTTCATCATTCAATTTCATCCAACAATTCATTCATCCATCTCTCCCTTCGTCCATCTGCCCATCCATCCATCTATTCATCCATCCATCCATGCATTCATCCAACAAATATTCACTGAGAAAATATTAGAGGATGGTCTAGAACCTGGCCTTTTGATCCTCAATATAGTATGTGTTCTGTGCTGGTCCACATCTGCCCAATTTGACTTAGTGTTTGTCAGCTATAGGTAAGGGATGAAGTCTGGCCCAGACTCTGTCAAAAAATTTTGTTCTTTCAGTTCTCTGGTTGCTGAATTGGAGCCCCAGGCAAACCCTGCATTCTTCTCTCCTGATTTAATTGGTCCATTATTTTAAACTTTTGTAGATAAGGGAATAAAAAAGTCAGTGGAATATTGTATTCATCACATTGAAATTAATATGCTTCATTACCACAAAGACAAGGAGTATGGTTGTAATATTTTCTCAAAACTTTTAATTGAACAGAGCATGGGAGGGGGGAAAGCGAAAATGGAAACCACCAAGCTCGGATGTTGTTTTTCACTTTCTCAAAATGTGTGCTGTTTGTGATCCACTCATCTCATTAGTGTTAATTATGACCTAAAATAAAATGGCATTTAACACTGTGCTGAGACTTTAATTAAAGCCAAACCTTCATACCCAGGAACTCTCCGAAGTCCAAGATAGTTACTCTAAAATGGTATAAGCTTCTGCTGAGCCAGCGGTATCCACACACTCACTCCATCCCCTGCTGCTGGAAGCCCGATACTTCAATCCATCCACCATCCATCCATCCTTTCAACAAATTAATTTAAGGTAGTTCTGGGGAAAGAAAATGAATATTTATTAAATATCACTCTATTACTTTAAATGCATTCTTTGTAACCTAATGTAGCACCAAGGACCTAGGAATATTCAAGTAAGGATAGTGAGTAGTAGTGTATGCATTATCTCATTTAATCTTCAAAAGAGTCTCATGAAGTAAGGACAAATTATTCTATCTATTTTATAAGAGGTGAAACTGAGGTCCAGAGAGGTTTGAAACCTTGCCCTAAATCATATTCATGGCATGTTTTCCTGCTTTACACTGCTGAGCTAGAAAGAGTAATCTGAATTATCTAAATGTATTCATTCGTTCATTCATTCATTCATTCATTCATTCGAGATCGCCCACTATGTGTCAGATCTATGCTAGGGGCTAGAGAGACCCCAGTCCCTTTATTCACATGTTCGGTGAAGCGGGCCAACAATCGGTAGAGATGACAAGACTGTGATGAGAAAGAGAAGCAGGAGGGCTGTGGGGCTAGGATGCAGGGACAACCAGCCCAGCCTGGGAATCCAGGAAGGGTTCCCCAAGAAGGTAAGACTAGTGGAACAATTTTATCCATAATTCCTACAGAAGGACCCACCCAGAGGGTGGCCTAGTGATTCTTTCAGAGATTATGGCAACCCCAAAACCAGCTTCCCAGAAGCAAGCATGGTACAGGGCCCATCCAGCCAGACTGCAGATAGCCTGCGCCTGGGAACCACCTCCAGAAAGCATGCGAATGACTGACCCCAGTCATCTGGACTTCCTGGCATCAGAATCTGTGGATAATACTGAAACATTAGTGTCTCAAACAGATTAGGCATTAGTAACAAGTGGCACACCTCTCCTCCCACATCATGGGTTCCCAACTCTTGTCTGGTTTCTGAGTTCTGGAACCTGAGCCAACCATGACAGCTGCACTGGGTTCCTCCCCTGTATGCCAATCTCTTTATTTGAAGGAAAAGTAAATGCAAGAGAGAAATTACTGATCTGGTCAATAATTTAGAGATTTCTAGGGCTGACATGGTGCTGGAACAACCAACCTGCTCATCGACAGGGGAGGAGGCTGTGGCCCAGACCAGGCAAGCCACCTGTCCTGTGTCATACAGCAGAACCAGCCCAGGACTCCTGACTCTAGTCTGGTGGTAATTCCTTTGTCCTAGCAGGGACCGGTGGAGAACCTTTTAGGAGAGGTCGGGATGCTGAAGAAAATGATTCTTGCCCATAGATTAGCTTCCTGTTTACCAAACTTTGCCTCCCCTCCTTACTTGCCCTCCCTGGCCAGGAGCCTGGCTGCACAGCTACTCTTTCTGCCTGTGACTTGCACATCAGCTCAATACTTAACCTCTTAGAGAGTTCTCCTTTCAAGCTTCATCCTCAGGGAAAAGGGACGCAGTTTCAAGGAAAAGTGCATATTGCATTTCTGCAGCCCCACATCTACTACCTGTGATTTCCTGTAGGGATAAAACCTGTGAATCAGTGGCCAGTGTGATCCTTGGATAATCCCTCAGTCACTGTGATTGGTTTGGGGATGGACATATGAGCCCATTGGAGCCAATAAGATTCTGTAAAATGTTGAAGTTCAGTTACATGAGCCAATAAATTCCCTTTTGTTTAAGTGATTCTGGGTTGGCTTTCCTGGTACTTGCAACCTAAAGAGTCCTGAATGATGAAGTAATAAAAACAGTAACTCGAGTAATATTAATTGGCTGCTTGTCTGGGCTAGGTACTGTGTCAAGTTCTTCCATTTGTGAACTTATTTGGCATTCCCAGCAACTTTATGGGATATTCAATATTGTCCTTACATTGTGCCTAGTGAGGTTAAAATAACTCAGACTGCTGCCAGCATATAAGTGACGAAGCTGGGCTTTGAACCTGAGCAGCCTGGCTCTAGAGCCCATGTTCTCAACCACAATGCAGTACTGCCCCTCGGCACATACTCTTTTCAGCTAGAGCCCCAGGAAGCTTCTCTTCCATTTGCTGGTCTGGTAGAGATACAGTTCCCAACTCAGTCAAATTCTCAAGAAGGACTAGATGAATTTCATTAGGTCTCCATGGAGAAGGCAGTTTGCTTGTGGAAATTCATGCCTCCCAGGGACCTGTCTACCACACTATGCCTGAACTTCTATCATTAGATATGGGTATCTTTGGATTGCTAATAGTAATTACGGTTATAATAATGACAGTTTTTACTTTTTTTTTGAGACAGAGTTTCACTCTTGTTGCCCAGGCCGGAGAGCAATGGCATGATCTCGGCTCACCACAACCTCTGCCTCCTGGGTTCAAGCGATTCTCCTGCCTCAGCCTCCTGAGTAGCAGGGATTACAGGCACCTGTCACCACACCCAGCTTATTTTGTGTTTTTAATAGAGACGAGGTTTCTCCGTGTTGGTCAGGCAGGTCTTGAACTCCTGAACTCACGATCCACCTGCCTTGGCCTCCCAAAGTGCTGGGATTACAGGCGTGAGCCACCGCGCCCGGCTGACGGTTTTCACTTTTTAAGATACCTGTTTCTTACCAGGCCTTTCTTTGAGCACTTTGTATATATTGTCTCATTTACTTCGTAGAGAAGAGGAAAATGAGGCCAACTATCATGTTGGAAGTCATAGAACAATGATGTATTCACTTCCTCAGAGTCTGCTGAAGGACACACCCTGGCTCCTGGCCTCTTGGGCCTGCAGTCTCCTGGAGGGAGAAGTGGGCAGGGGCTCAGTGAGCAGACCACCTGAGGATGGCCAAATGGAATCGCTGCTGCAACTACAGATGCTGGGCCAGAGAGGCGAATCAGGTCCCTTGGTCTGGCAGAGATCAAGAGTGAAAGCACAGATTTCTTAAGAGCCAGCAACTAGCAAAAAGTCCAGATGAAAGTACCCCAAAATGTTAATGCTGGATTTCTTTGCCGTTTGAGTTATTTGAGATACTTATTTTCAGTCTTTCATATCTTTGCTATATTTTATGCAATGAGCTGACTTACCCTTATAATTATAAAGAAAACAAAACAAAACAAAATGACAGCCCATTATGAAAACTATAGTAGGAACCAGTAATAAAAGGAATCAGGCATTCTTGGAGGTTCCTTGGAGTGGCTCCAGGGCCAGGGCAGGAGATGCTCAAAGTGAGCCTAAGCATCTTTTGCTGCCAACAGTGAAGAAGTGCGCGCGCGTGCACACACACACACGCAAACACACACGAAACCCAAACCCCTCAATGATAGGGACATAGGAGCCAACTGCAAGAGCCCCCAGTAGCCAAAGGTGGAATAATTTGAGCAGCAAAAGAAGTAAAATATGATTGGATTATAACCCAAAGTGTCAACATAAATATCCGTGAGCTCATATTAATATAAACAAATCTCTTATGCAGAATAATTCCCAATAATTCACGAAGATGGTTCACCCTCAAAGAGGGTCTATAACTTTCACTCCTTCAGTGTGAGTTGCACACAGTGACTTCCTTCCAAAGAGCCAAGAGAGGAAGGGAGGAAAATGATTTCACAGCAGAGAAATCTGACAAACACGACCTTAGCCAGGTGATCGAGGTCACCATCAGCAGTGGTAGGTTGTGTTGATAGCATGCGCTCTTCAAATGATGTGATGTGAATGACACTTTACCTCTGTGCTCTTCCTCCCCAAACCCCAGTGCAATCATCAGAAAAGCTTCAGATAAGACCCAGTTGAGGGACATTCTACAGACATCTGCCCAATATCTCCTTAACATTGTCAAGGTCACCAAAACAGGGTCGCCTAAGAAACGGTCACAGCCAAGAGGAGTCTAAGGAGACACGCCTACTAAATGGAATGTGGGATCCTGAACTAGAAAAAGGACTTCAAGTAAAAACTCAGGAAGTCTGAGTTAGGTAGGGACTTGAGCAAATAATAACATTGCAACATTTGTCCATTAGTGGTGACAGTGTTAACCTACGCTGTTACCAACGGGGGTTGCCGGGTGTGCAGGATTTGGGAACTCTTTTACTATCTTTGAAGTTTTTCTGTAACTATAATTTAAAACTATTCTAAAATGAAAAGTTTGTTCTGAAAAAGCTAGATAGGAACAGAGCATGGCAGGAGAAACAGGCATATTACAAAGGCTTGGGATGATCTCTCAGGTCAGCTGAAAAAATGGTTTAACCCCCAGTGACTCTTTGACTTTTTTTCCAGAAAAAAAAAATCTAGATTTCTGTAAATAAATCTGTCTGCTGGACTGGAAGGGGACAAGGTTATTGTACCTAACTGGCCTTCCCCAAATCCCACAGGGGCCTCATGGCAGTTAGATTCATTAATTCAGCATTTTCTAATGATTAACACTGATCAATAAGCCACTGGGTCTGTTCTTTAAATCAATTGCCCCATTAATGAGAATGAAAGCACCATTTTATTACCCAAGCCCTGGCCCTTTTGCAGAAAAGGCTTCTGGGGGTTCGGGCTTCCATTCCCCGTGCTGTGTATTAGGTTAATTACTCTCCCACTCAGGTCTTCCAAGCCTGATGCCTGTGACTTGGAACAAAATGAGCTGAAGGGAAAGACTTCTAGAAAAATGGGTTAGAGGCTTTCACCGAGTGAGACACTCAGTTAGTTCAGGAGTCAACTAAATTTTACCAAGGATCTTCTGAGTGCTCGGGCTGCTGCTCAAATGCTACCTCTGTAGAGAGACCTCCCTTTACCACCTTGTCTAAAATATCAATTCCCCCATGCTCTCTTGCCCCTGCTTTAGTTTTCTTTGAAGTGTTTATCACTACTAGATGTTATATTTAACTGTTTGTTTGTCTTTTTGCTTTGCTCCCCACTAAACTGAAAACCTCTTGAGGACAGGGTGCCTTGTCTGCCTTGTTCATCCCCAAAATATAGCCAATAGTAGATCTCAATAAATAGTTTTGAATAAAAGAATGCAGAGGGCCGGGTGTGGTGGCTCATGCCTGTAATCCTAGCACTTTGGAAGGCCGAGGCGGGTGGATTACCTGAGCTCAGGAGTTCGAGACCAGCCTGGTCAACACAGTGAAACCCTGTCTTTACTAAATA